CTAGAGGACTCTGAGGTTGTTCCAGCCCTGCTTTATTCTAACTTTTTTTTATTCTTGTGAAATAGCCCACTGAGAACAAAAAATAAAATGAAATAAAAATCTGAAGACTGTCGCTGGTGTTCAAATGTTTTATGATTAGGAAATTCTTTGTGCGGAACTTTTATTGTTCCTCCTCGTGTGTCGCTCGGCAGGGTTTGAGCGTCGCACCAGAAGCTGCGGTTGTTTCCGGCCAGCTCAGCGCGTCGCTCCTGTTGTGTTGTCACTTTCCAGGCTGTCAAACAGACGCTGGTTCCAGGTAGCTGTGAGGTTTTTCAGGCCGTGGGGACCCAGCGGAACATCGAGGAGAGATGGTGCTGCTGACGATGATCGCTCGGCTGGCTGACGGGCTGCCGCTGGCCGCTTCCATGCAGGAGGACGAACAGGTTAGTCTTTTCTGTGGAGGCTGGCTGCTGGAGCTAATTATGTGCTCTGTTGTAATGTTAGATGATAACGTCCAGCTGCGACGGTTAGGGGGTGAATCTCTTCGACATTAAGTCGTTTATAAGAGATCAGAACCAATAGCTGCTGTCTGAGACTTTATTTGTCTGACTAATAAATGCTTATTTTTGTACAGGCCTGTTGGCTACAGCTTTATATGAGGGCTGGTTTACAGGATAGCTTAACATTTTCTGTTGCAAACTGAGCAAAATTTCACTTCAGTCCTGGCCTTTAAACATCTGCTACTTCTTTCTTATGAATGTAAACGATTTTCTAGTTTACACACACTCTATTTTATTTATATCTGCTGTTGCCCAGGTCTCAGGCTTTCTAATAGTTTTTTCCTAAGTGATCTTTAGAAACAACTCCAGCTTTTCYGAAGGTCATTTAGTTTTTCTCTGAACTTTGGCTGCTTTTTCTTTCATCTTCTGTTTATTTTCAAAAGAATGTTCATTTTTCTGCCCCTAAGATCTATAAATCATTCATCCATTATCTCAGCCAGGTCACAGGTCCACAACAGAGACAACGGAGACATATCTAGGGACAATTTAGAAATACCAGTTAACCAACATTCTTGTTTTTGGTCTGTGGGGGGGAGGGGGGGGGTACTGGAGAGAACAATCAAACTGTACCCAGAAAGGTCCCAGGCCAGGATTTGATCCAGCAACTGTCTTGCTGAGAGGTACCGTGCCGCCTCCTATGAATTATTTAAGCTTAAAACCTCCTGCACTACTGACAGGACAAACTAGTGTTGTATCAGCACACAACAGGCAACTTAATAAAGAACTAATTTACAGTAAAATAGCATCATTAAACACTTCAGTACTGACAGACTGTCACARTAATACTACTTGTTCTCATGATTAAAAATGACAAAAAATATGAGTTTGTCAGATTTGAAAAAGGATCTTGGTACAGGCAGGGTAATTCCCAAAATGCTTTTCAATGACGACCAAAAAAAATTGTTTGTATTGTAAGAATTGTAAAATAACTTGTTTATAAACATGTGACAGTGTGCACAATATGTTGTCATAGATGGCTACAAATGTTGTAGTGAAAACAAATAAAGAAAAAACAAGTTTTTCCAAAGATGATCACAAATAATTTTTTGCAACTATATTACTCACTAATTCAGGGCTATTCAACCGGTGGCCCACTGGCCACATCCGGCACCGCAGCTGGCTTCTGTCTGGCCCACCAATGAAA